ACATACATACATACATACATACATACATACATACATACATACATACATACATATAGATATATATATATAATACATATGTGTGTGTATATGTGTGTTACTCTATTTATTTATTATTATTATTTTTTTAGAATTCAAGGGCTACTTCAAGTATCTTTTGAAGTAGGACGCCATAAAACCAGGGAATGTGTTGTGATTGTGCAATTCCAATAAAAATCTAAATTGAAATAATATTGTTCTTTTGTCTGAAATTGTATCTATCGACTTATTTGTGGAAAATGTGAAAACTAAAGAAAAAAAACCCATCGAATCTATTTTTTAATAAGTTTAGGTAATTTTATTTACAGTTGAGAATACAAAACATACTACATCATTATAGCTATAACATTGACATAGTTTAAACTATAAATTTTCAGCTTTATAATACAATGATTCTAGTAATTCTCCTGTAAAAGCAGTATCAATTCTAGAATTGCACCATCAATTCTCGTATATATTTTAATTATTGCGGAGGTCTTAAATTTTGTAACAGTCAAAAATGATAAATTAGTAGTTATAAAAATTATCCAGTATTTATTAATAACGAAACAGGTTTGTTAAAGTTATTTTTTTCTTAAGAATCTATCGCAGTGACCAATTTTTATTAAAAACTGCTTAGGAAGTTTTGCTAATGCTAATACGATACTGCTAATACAACTATTAATACGATCGCGTTTAAGATTAGTAGAATTTTCAGATTTAGTCATTAATCTTCAAAACTACTGAACATATTTCAAAGTTTATCATTGAATTTTGATAATAAAATGCATATGAAATTATGACAATCAAACATTTCATTTTCGAATCTCACGGAAAAGGAAAAAAAACTTATGTAAAAAGGTGTCGAACAATAGGGATTTTAAATACGATCAATTAAAAATGTTCAATTATTGTTATAAAAAAATACAATTACATAATCGCAGATGTAAAGGTTCTTTATGTTGACAGGAAATCATCTATTTTCAAAATGTTTTGAAAGAAATGTTGACACACAATCAGGATTTTAACGCCTTCCTCTTTTAGAAAAGTATTTCAAACTCTTTCTAATAATCTCCTTAATTTACATATATATTTTTCTTTGTTTAAAATTTCTGTTTATGAAAAGTGATTTATAGGCACCCTGCACTGCCTTTTTAAATTCAAGACACACCAGAGTCTTAGAAGGAAAGAGTGATGAACATGAGAAATACATTGAATCAATATTGATAAAGTAGGGAGTTTCAGTAATTTCATCTTAAAAAAAAAAATTTAAATAGACGATGTTGTGAAAAAATGCAATAGTTATACTACACACACATACACTGCGTAACTCTTATCGTTACCCAATCCGTGGTAATAGAATCGAATATTAAAGGTCAATTTCTCCTATATTGAAGGAAGGTTGCTGTAGCTTATTTGTTTTCAAATAAAGTGTATAAACCATTTGAGCAAAAGACGTGTAACCCCTTAATATTTAAAATATCACTATTTACGGCAGCGAAATTTTGGTTGGTTCGGGCAGGTCATGTCCTTTAATAAGACTATTTCACTAGAATGAGGGAAGATGATGAGATCCTGAAAACTTATGATTTCCTTTTGAGGGTGCAATTGACCCTGATTGTCAGAGTGACACATAGAGATATATATATGGCGTTTGATTAAAATCATTTTCTGTTCACTTTCATTTCACATTATCCTTTAGGTTTCGTAGCTCCAATGAGACATAGTTTCATGAAAAGATTTTGGAATGTTGGTGACATAGAATCATATAACCATATATATGGAATGCTTTGAAGTAATCCACAGGGTCTGTACACATCTTCCGGATAAACGCTACCAATTGCATGTTCCAGGTCATTTATAACTATGTGATGTTTGGATGATGCACTTCGTAAAATTGCTTTCCGAGAATTTTTGAAGTCTGCAAAGAAATTTTCAGCATAATCATCTCTGACATGCGATGGCAATGATGTCATCATAAAATCTATGTCTTGTTCCATGCCTTCTGGTGATAAAAGTTTTGTTCTAAATAACAAAAGTTGAAAATAGTTTAAAAATATAGTTTGAGAACTTAAAAGATCTTAAAAATCTTAACAGAACTTAAAGAAAACTTAATAAGTTTAAAAAAAATTGAAAAATATTGAAATTTTGAAAGATGTAAATTTTTTGAAAAGTTGAACTAAATGGTATCAATTTATTTTTCCATGCCTTAAAATTTTAGTGTTCTCAAAAGACAGAGTTACTAAGTGACTATCTTTGAGTATTTTCAGTCTGGAAAATGCTTAAAGAAGAAAAAAACTAGAGGATTTTAAATGCATTTCGTTACAAGCAGTCGGTAAATAAAATGAGTAATTTTCGAATACAACAGAAATGTTGAATGCGTGAACGATAAGACGCCAACAGTTTACATTAGTGTTTAGCACTTAGTTTTTAGAACAAAAACTAAAGCAAGCGATATTTCTTATTTTCATTATTTAAAATTTAAAGCTAATTTCCTCAATTTCGCTAGATTATCTTTTAGAACTTTCATCCACTTAGTTCAAACTGTTCAACAAAATCAATTATTTTGATAGGAACTAATATTTTTTTTAACGGATTAAGTATGGTACAATGCATACCGAAAATAATCTGGTTCTATGGATATTACACGGATCCCCCATACACTTAGCTCATGCCTCAAACAGTCGTTGAAACCAACAGCAGCATATTTACTCGTCACATATGGTGATACTGTTATCACAGCTGATCTTCCTATTAAAAAAAAAGAAACAAATCACTCTGAATAACTTTTGTCCTAATGATGAGATTTCCGCAAGTTAAATGCTTCTTTTAATGGTTCAAAAGAGTTACCTCTTAAAAATAACTAAGTATTGTGAACTATTAATTAAGCAAATGAATCAGACACTAAAACTTACTTTCGCTGACTTAGCATGCATTCTTTTACGAATTTGGTTTTTTGACAATCAAAATATGGAGAGGGAGCTGATAATCACGATGGGAAAAGTATGGTCTCAATAGTTTAGTCAGGATAGCTATTGAATTTTTCTCTCTTCGATCGAATCTTCTCCCTACCCCGTTTTTGAATCCTTTTACACTAATTTCATTTTATTTTTATTTTTTATCCGTATCTTGCGAAACGAATCAAAAAGTTCTTGCATTACAACTATAAAAATTTTTTTAAAGACAATTTTAAGGAAAATATAATTTTTAATAATTTATTCTACTTAATTATGGACAAATACAAGTTTTTACTCCTTTTCAAACAATGTATTTTAAATGACATTACACGAACAATGAAAAAACAGTTAAAAAGTTCTTGGAAATGAAAATTGTACAAATACGGCTATTTAATTCGGAAAATAATCTTAATAATAATTTTCCGAACAACTGACACTTCTTATATTTTGATGGTCAAAGTTCCAAACCAGCAAAAAAAGTTAAGTTTGTTGTTTTTGTATCTGATTCCGTACCTCAATTAATAGTTAGCATTAAATAATTAGAATATTTGAGATCATGGCATGATTAATCTATTAAGACAAGCATTTAGATTGTTAATATTTAAGAGGGTTACGCTTTGTTCGCTTTCGTTCTTCGTTACGCTTTGTTCTGATCCAGTCTAATCAATTCATATAAAAGTTTCTTAAATGAAAATTAAAGTAAAAATATCAATATCGAATGCAAATCATTGCAAAAAGAAGCGTCTGAGAAGCTCTTTAAAATTATATTTCACGGAATATTTACATATGAGTATGCATATATTATTTCATTTCGAATCACATACAACAAACTTTTGATTTTTAACGTTCGTTGTAATTAAAATACATTTTTATTTTATTCTGAAGCATTTTATAGAGCATTTCAGTTTACAACATATGGTTTTGTAAAATTTAAAATATGAGCTTGAAAAAACTTTAATGACATTTCAACCATCTACGTTTTGAAACTTTTAATTTGTCTCCTTCTAAGATAATTTTGAAAGCATTAAGTAAATGGGAGCATTTAAAGTATTTTTGATGATGCAAAAAATAGGAGAAAACCCAATGAGTTTATTTAAACATTATGTCATTAAATTTTTAATTGTGTTTCAATATTTCTACATATTTTTTGCCTTAAATAATCTAATTAAAATGTAAACGATAAAAACATTTTGACTTTTTAAGTGACAAAGAGAAGTCAACTATTTCTGCACTAGTTGGATTCCAGTCCTAAGAATGGGGTAAACAAGATAATCATCAGTAAATTAGTGTTAATCAACAATACGAAATCGTGCACCAGTCAGACTAAATTAAATGTTTATCGTTAAAAATTCGAGTAAGAGAATGCATAATATACTGCGAAAGTTGAACAGTACTGCAGTTTAATAACATTTATCTCAAAAACAGGGCATTTTGTATGCATGTTTGAAATTTTAATATTTTTTATGCATTAATCATCTATTTTCATATTTATTCTGCATTAATCATCCATTTCAATATTTATTCTGCTCTTAATGCAGTAATTAAGCAGGAGAATAATACTTAAAATTTCCAATTAGTACGAATTTAAAATTTTCTAAACTCACTTGTATCTTATTAATTGTATAAAAAGGTACGGAAAGTGTTATTCGTCTTTTTCGATGGATGATCGAATTAATAAGAATTTAGGATAAACTAAATTGAATTCGACGTATTTTTATACAGAAAATGCAAGTTTTGATTTAAATATCCTATATTATATTCCTATTTTTTGTAGTTTAAAGAATATATTTGAGCTCATTTACTATTTTAACCAAAAAGTTAACAAAAAGTAAATTTAATTTAATAAGTTGCGCAAAAATGAAAGAATTCAGGTTAAATATGCATATTGAAAATACAAATTATAAAACATTTACTAGTTAAAGAATACAAAAATAATGGAATATAAGGGTTGCCCAAATGAAAAATAGATGTAAATGCGAGAGAGACAGCAACACCACAATTTTAAGTCATAAAGAAAAACATATTGTCGCAGAAGGAAAAAAAAGTGCTTAATTAATTCAAATAAAAGCAATTCAAGTGAATGCAAAATTATGATGAAACTGTTTTGGCCAGATCAGAGTAAACTGTAATAGTACTTTAAGTCGTGGCTGGAGATAGTTGCAACATTCCTGTATTCAAACAGAGCACTACATTGATGTCCTCGATTCATTTCAATAATCATTTCATTAGCAAAAGTTTATGATACATTAGAAATCATGGTGTTTACTTCCTCTGAGTGTTGGCAGTTCCGATATTGATATAAAGGCTTTATAGAAACTGTTAAACCTTGTGTTCAGCGCTATATGTACAAGTAATGGTTCTCCATAAGGGTCTATCATTTGCATTATTCTCTCATTCGGCCACACTACGAACACTACGGATCACTCTATGAAGCATTGTCCTGATCTGGGCATATTCATTTCAGTACAACGTATAGTACGGCAGATTGTGAAGTAATCGAACGAATTGCGTCTTTAATGACAGAAATATAAAACTTGGAAAATGTGTAACACCATGAAACTATAATTTTCGATGGAGATGATCTCTGATTTAGTTTATAACAATAATAGCGGTTGTTCAAAATGACGGACTTTAATGCATTATTTTTTATTTTTTTGATGTGAATATTTTTTCGATTTTGAATGATATATAATAAAGAAATGATCAAATTTGAAAGTTTGAGAATGCAGTTATCTATCTCAATATATCACTTGGGACAATATATGACACCTGCTCACTTTACCTAATGACGCCCCCTAGTACTAATTTATTTTGGTTTTTAAATAATAAACTGTTATCTTAAAAATATTGTGCATTATTATACTTTATTAATATATGCCTATAATTTATTTATAATATATTTATTTAAATCAATTTATGGATTAATTAATACTGAAATATTCAGATTTATTTCATAATTAGTCTAATAATCATAGAAAGAAAGGTTTTTTTATTTAAAAAGATGCTTTTTCATATTCCTATAAATGATACATGAAAAACTCTCTTTCTCCCTCCCCTTTATGTGAGAAATGGGTTAGTTTAAAGGGGAGAACTGAACTTCTAGATAGGCCAGTAAGGTATAATTTCAGATTTCATTTTTTCAGACTGAATTAAAGCAGAATAATTTCCAGACAGTTGGATTTAAATTATATGAATTTTCTGTACAAAAAGTAAAAATTTGTGCTTGAATCTATTTAGGTATCTAATATTGCTATCAAAGCAAGAGGGACTATGTTTTCTATGTGCGTTTTACTCTAAATTATATGAGAGACACACAAGTCAATCGAACAATTAGTTCAGGTACTTTAAGAGTGTGTATTCAAATTTCATTTTTTTAGACTGAATTGAAGGAGAATAATCACCAGACGATTGGATTTAAATTATATGAATTTTCTGTACAAAAAGTACAAATTTGTACTTATACCTATTTAGATATCTAATATTGCTATCATAAGCAAGTGGGACTTTGTTTTCTACGAATTTTTTACTCTAAATTATATGAGACGATACACAAGTCAATCAAAGAATTAGTTTAGGTGCTTTAAGAGTTTGTATTCATATGCTGTACTTCTTTTGACACATACATACCAGAATTGAAGTTTCATAAATGCGATACATGTGTACCAAGTTTTATGCTCCTATCATTTAAACGGTGAATGTTTCACCGAACTGCAGTGTGAACACATTCATTTTTAAAGCTTGTTAACCTGCGTTACGCAATCTGCAGTGCTTTCATTTTAATTTAAAACCTTGAAGGTTGACACTAATATCGCTGCAGAATGCCTGACAAATTCATCTATGACCATTTTCATTTGGGTAACCCCTGTATGTTACCTGACATGCTTGTCACATTAATTATCCGACCTCTGCTTTTTTTCAGTAATGGTAAAAATGCCATTGTTACACGGATGATTCCCAAAGTGTTTACTTCAATAGAGTCTTTGTAGTCTTGAATATTTGAGAACTCAGCATGAAATCCCTTAAGGACACCAGCATTATTAACTACAGCCCAAAGTTCTGAAATAAAATTATTGGATCAGATAAATATTAAAAAAAAACATTATTTTTAGGTGAAATATTTTATTTTCCATAAAGAACAAAAAGGAAGAAAAAATTTGGAACTTCCTTAATATTCCAAGAAGCATATTACCTTTTTTCATATATGTACTTTTCAAAAGATTTCTTGATATTATTTTGGAGATATAAAGTTTTAGTGATATGCAAGAATGTGCTGCAATTATTCTGACATTATAAATTATGTGTAAATGTATCTCTTTTACCACGTTTATATCAACTTGCCTTCCTGTTTGGGTGGAATTTTGTAATCGATTTTAAACTGATTTCCCGACTAGCTACAGGCTTCAAATTTGGCACATAGTTCAGAATTGGATGACAATGCATAAAAATGAAAAGAAAAAAGACCTACAAAGTAAAATAAAATTAAAATTAAAGAAAAATTTATATTTTCGCGATTGTCTCTTGTTGTCGATTCAATTATTTCAAATTAGCGTCATAGTGAGTGAAAAAATTGTGAACGGTGTGTGATTTGTGTACACTTGAGTGAAAAAATTGATATTTTGGAAGTACAAAAAAAATCAAAATCAAAATAATATTTTTAAAAACTGCGTTTTTGTAGTGGAAAATTAAAATTAAAAAACGAAAATTTATAAAACGAAAAACGTGGGGAGCATGAAATACATAACAGTACATATACACATTTTCTTACTCTTACACATGCACAACCACATCCACATCCGCATTCAGATACAATTACAGATATACATACACATATTCTCATGAGTACATATACAGTTAATGTTATGTATTTCATGCGTCCTACGTTTTTCGTTTTTCAAATTTTTGTTTTTTAATTATTATTCTCCACTTCAAAAACGTGGTTTTTAAAAATATTATTTTAATTTTGATTTTTTTAAAAATTATGTTCTTCAAACAAGCATTAAAACAAGTTATCATGACAAAAAACAATGAAGATTGGATAAAAATTAAGTAACGGTATTATGAACCGTATTAGCTCGAAAGGAACATAACAACAATAAAGATGTGAAACAATTTTCGAAATGCTGTACAGATGTCAATACAAGTTTCATAGTCTGAAAAAATTTAGATCTTTTTGAAAAGCGTGTGAAATATTTCAGAAAAATGTGTAGAAAACTTTACTGCAGTTTAATATGCAGAAATCTCTTAGATCTTGGTAGTGAATAAAAATATTTTCTTAAACTTCTTGAAAAAAAATTTTTGGGATTACAAATACTAAATTTCTTATTTATTTCTGAGTTTCCAGATTGCACTTATTTATATTGTTGGCTTAGAATATAAAGTAATGGTAATTGAATAAATAGCAATTACAAACATACCTAAATTAATAATTGCCTTACCGCATTTATTTAAGTTAATTTTCACGAAATCATATGCTCTTTTTACACTTTCATCATTTGTGACATCAAGCTCGAAAATATGTAACTGTTGAGAGTATTTAGACTGAAGCTTCAAAACATCTGCTGTAGATGGAGACAAGCAACTAGCAAATACTTGATATCCTTTTGAAAGTAACCGATCTGTTAAAAAGTGACCAAAGCCTCTGTCACATCCTGTAAAAAGAATTTACGTAATTTTTTATAAATTTAATATATTTATAGTTGGTTTATTTTATTATCCCAATAAATATATACCAGCAAATGTTTACCATATTTTAATTGAAACTTTTGACACAATAAGTTATTGTTTGACACAGTAAGTAATCAATAAGTTCAAAAACCGGGAATTTCTAACGAAACTAACTTTACAGGAGAGACAAGAAACTGAATGGTAAAGTAACAGTTGGGCATATCCTTCAGAAAAACATATAATCATTTTCAGCAAACAATGAAGCTGATAATTTTATACACTCATACACACAAAGTTAAGAGAGTAATTAAATGCCAGTTTCTGTGCTTAGGATGCAAGTTATTAATACTCATGAACGCATCACTGATGGTGGTAATCTTGTTAATCAACTTCCTTCGAGGACGACTCACAAAGCAAAGATACAACTAGCAATACTCCCAATTAGCGCAAAAATGCAATTATTATACATATAACATCAAAAGTTGAGTAAAATAAATAAAAAATGCTTTGCATACTGACGTAAACCAAAAAGAATTTTGCATCCTGCGTATTATGCGCAGACTTGCGATAGATTCCAAAAACTTGTATGCTTAAAAATCATTTTTAAAAAGCACAACGTAGAACAGTTTTTGCGATCAAAATGACCACAGTAACTGTTCTACGTTGTAAAGAATTCCGGATTAAATTATGGTAAAAAATACCAACACTTTGGATTTATTATCCGCAACATCCCTTTTACCGTAAAAGCCATTTTAACCGTAAAATGTTACAGTATAAGACTACATTTTTGGTTTTTCTTTGACTTATTACTCTAGAAAGTTTGTGTTGAATCTTATTTTCCCATTGCTTATCATACTATTAACAATGTAGTTGAAAAAGTTGTTAACTTCATCCTCAGTTAAACTTATTTAACTTTATCATCACTGTAAAATCTCAGGATCAAATTACGATAAAGAGTACTGAGAAAAAGATAGCCGCTATTTGTTACAGTAAAATCTATTTTTCCCTCAAAATTTTACAGAGCAAAAGTCTATTAGTGTAATTAAGCAAATATTACGGTAAAAATGGTTTTATACTAAAGTAGATTTAATGGAGGTGACACTCAGGGTACCAGAACAATGCTCTTGCTAATACAGTTCTGATACTTACATTATATAGAACATGTGTGGCCTACGGGATTTGCCAAATTGGTTCTTGCGATCGTTTGCAAAAGACTGAAAGCTTTAAAGCCTAAAATTCCAACACTCAAAAAAGAAATACAGAAATGAGTGTGTTATGAATTACGTATCACCCAGAGAAAAACTCTGCTTAAATTTTCGCATTGCATGGTAATGGCATTTCTGGTAATGAAAAAATATAATTCTGGTAGTAAAAACCAATATATACGACATTGAAACCATCCAGTTGATAATTTTTCCATTCATATAGTAACGGTTTACCGAAAATTCTGATTCTGAAATTACAGACAGTTCTAATTACCCCATATTTAATAAAAAATACTAAAAGGAAAAGTAAATTTAACTGAATGAATGGTTTTTGATAAATTTACCAGATTTTACTATTTTTACCACATTTTATTACTTATTATAAAACCATATTCAATTGTTTATTTTGCTCGATTCGTTATGAACGCGCTTCCGTAAAAATTAAAGATTTTTTTTGCTACCATAGATCAAAAATGACGTAATTTTACGAAATTCAGGTAGTTTTGACATACTTTTTCTGCAGTACGGGGATCATGCAGATCACTAACATGAAGTACTATATTCCTGGGTTTCAAAATCTCAGACCTTTTACATAAAAATAAAATATATCTATATTTAACACTTTAAATTATTAATGTTCAAGAATTATCTTGGAAATATTTGCGTCCTTTTTTTTGCATCGTATAAAAACTTTCGTATGATTTCGGTGTAGTTTTTTTTCCTTTTAAATGTTTCGTGACTTTTAAATTAATCGAATTTTTTCAAAATTAAATTAAATAAGCCATATCTGCACATAAAAATTGCAAAATAGACACACTACAGAAAGTTGTTAACCATTTACTAGCATTAATTTTTGTTCTTACCTGTAATAAATACTGCTTTACCCCTTGAGTTTATTTTTTGTCCGAAAAATGTCTTTTTCGTGATTTTAAAACACAAAATTCCAACATTTATAAATATAACCACAAAACCAACTATGAAACAACAAATACATTTTATAAAATAAAAGTAATAACTAAACAGACAAAAGAATATCCCGCAATAAATTAGATGAATTACACACACAGTGTTAAATTTTCGCAAACGATGCATCTCGAAGTAAAGGTTTCATTCGAATAAGGATTTCATTAAAAATACACTTACATACATTTTTGTTAACTAATTCCACATTATGTATCCATATCACACGAAATGCGTGAAAAACTACTTAATAAAAAGTAAAGGATAACCTGCTTTCTTCTTGGAGAAGTAGATAACTTGATAGGATTTCTAGCTTTTAATGAATGCTCGTGCTTATTTTAGCAAAAATGTTCACTTGTGAATACAGAAAAATTGGTTCAGGTTTCAAATATAATAAAATGTGATCACAAATTAATTACAAACTAAATTTATATATATATATACTTAACAGTTGAGACTTAAAAAGTCTCAACTGTTCCATTTGCCCTACCGGGAATGTTAGTCCACAAAATGCATGCCCGAATAAACTTTTTTAAGGGAAGAATTCTTTTGCAAATGCATATATTAAAATTGTGGTCCATACGCATTGATAGTGGCAAACTTTGTTTTTTAAGAAACCAAGCAAGTACGCCTTTCATAATTTCTCTTTTTAACTGTTTAAAAACAACAAAATTTAATTCTTAAAAAATAATCAATTCTTCTTTTTTAACTTTTGGTGCCATTCAGTCTTGCATCTTAGATTGAATTTGAGGAAACATTTAGTTGGAAGTTTACGGTGATACAATTTTTTATTTATTTCTGACTTAATATTCAATACTTAATTACTAATTAATATTCTAATGGAGTATAGTTTTTAAGTTTTTATAAAAATTATTTTCTGAATAAGAATTAATTCCTTTTTCAATTTTATTCTGTTTCGTAGCTTATCGTTATTTGGCTATTAATAAAGCTACATAAACAAAAAATAATTACTCTATATTTTTTTTAAAAATTAAGCTTTTCGGATAAAATATTCATTTTTGGAGCATTTTAATTCATAATTTTAAACTTCAGGAAGGAAATTTAGTCTAAAAAAATTATATAAACTGGAAAATACTACCTGTAACCATAATAAAAACATCAGACTTTCTCCTTTTAATATTTTTTAGTAAATATTTAAATATTAAAATGATTTTCTATTATATTTACTGCTGAAATAAACACGTATTGATAGATATAATAAACACATGGATTAATACAGTACAACTGTGTTTTGTCATTAAAAGTAATAAAAATTAAAATTAATTTTTATAAATGAACTCATAACGAACAATTCTTTATTTAAAAAATAAACCATTACAACTATATTTTCTTTAGTTATGGACGGTAACTTACGGAAATTATTAGAATTATAATAGAATTTTTAACAAATTTGCTTTCACTTTTTTTAAAGTTTTGTTGTAATTATTGAGGTATGCAAACTTGGAAAGTATACTTAACCTTAAATTGTAACTATGCTCGTAAAAACAGTTGTTGTGTTACTATAAAATGTTTTTAAACGCTATAAAAATGTGTTTTTCCTTTTGTAAACAGATCCGTTTAAATATTTTTTAACTATAAAATAAAAATTTTGCTTACATAAAATTAAATGAAAATTTTTAAAAATAAAGAAGTTAAAACTTAGAATGAAAGCTTGTTAATTCAAAATACGTATTAATCAGTTTTATTCATCAATAATTGCAATATTAAAATAAAATAATTTTCTGTGTTTAATTTATAATGAAATACAACTGTAAAATGTAAAATAAATTTTTTTTTTACAAAATGAGAAGAACTGTATATAGAGCGCTTAATCAATTTTTGTATGTTTTTCTGAATGCAAGATATCTCTCAAAAATTTTAAATTGATAATTAGATATTTATTTCAACGCTTCCACACGATGAAAATAAAGAACATCACGAAATTTTTGGTTTTTAAGAATAAAAAACTGCTGTTATAACTGCATTTTACATTCTTTTTTTACTTTAGAAGACGTTTTTAGCAGAATTTTGAAATAACTGGTCCAAACATAAACTGACATTCTTAAAATGAATTATCGACAGCTGATTCTTCTACTTTTGAAAGGTTGCTTTATGCTTGTTCAGCTGTTAAAAGCAATGCGTCACACTAAGTCCTTACAGTTTTATTGTCATGAGATCAAATATCCATCTCTTCTTCTATGATAAGGCAGCTCCTCAAACACACAGTAATACTCACGAGTTGTATCTCAAAAAATTTTAACGAAAAAGATTATTTTAAGGAACAAAATTAATCTATTTAAAAACTCTAACTATAGTTTCGTTTTGTTAAAATTAAATATTTTTCTGACTATAAATCTCAATAAAATTTATATTTTTAAATAAAGCAAATCGTTTATGTGTACGTTATAATGTGCAATTCTGTGTGGTATGTGGAATAACACTCTCGAGTTGTATCTCAAAAACTTTTAACGAAAAAGATTATTTTAAGGAGCAAAATTAATCTATTTAAAAACTTTAAGTATAGTTTCGTTTTGTTGAAATTAAATATTTTTCATACTATAAATCTCAATAAAATTAATCTTTTTAAATAAAGCAAATTGTTTATGTGTACGTTATAATGTGCAATTCTGTGTGGTATGTGGAGTAACACTCTCGAGTTGTATCTCAAAAAATTTTAACGAAAAAGATTATTTTAAGGAGCAAAATTAATCTATTTAAAAACTCTAACTATAGTTTCGTTTTGTTGAAATTAAATATTTTTCCGACTATAAATCTCAATAAAATTAATCTTTTTAAATAAAGCAAATCGTTTATGTGTACGTTATAATGTGCAATTCTGTGTGGTATGTGGAGTAACACTCTCGAGTTGTATCTTAAAAAATTTTAACGAAAAAGATTATTTTAAGGAGCAAAATTAATCTATTTAAAAACTCTAACTATAGTTTCGTTTTGTTGAAATTAAATATTTTTCTGACTATAAATCTCAATAAAATTAATCTTTCTAAATAAAGCGAATCGTTTATGTGTACGTTATAATGTGCAATTCTGTGTGGTATGTGGAGTAACACTCTCGAGTTGTATCTCAAAAAAGTTTAACGAAAACGATTATTTTAAGGAGCAAAATTAATCTATTTAAAAACTTTAAATATAGTTTCGTTTTGTTCAAATTAAATATTTTTCTGACTATAAATCTCAATAAAATTAATCTTTTTAAATAAAGCAAATCGTTTATGTGTACGTTATACTGTGCAATTCTGTGTGGTATGTGGAGTAACACTCTAGAGTTGTATCTCAAAAAATTTTAACGAAAAAGATTATTTTAAGGAGCAAAAATAATCTATTTAAAAACTCTAACTATAGTTTCGTTTTGTTGAAATTAAATATTTTTCTGACTATAAATTTCAATAAAATTAATCTTTTTAAATAAAGCAAATCGTTTATGTGTACGTTATAATGTGCAATTCTGTGTGTTATATGGAGTAACACTCTCGAGTTGTATCTCAAAAAATTTTAACGAAAAAGATTATTTTAAGGAGCAAAATTAATCAATTTAAAAACTCTAAATGTAGTTTCGTTTTGTTGAAATTAAATATTTTTCTGACTATAAATCTCAATAAATATAATCTTTTTAAATAAAGCAAATCGCTTATGTGTACGTTATAATGCGCAATTCCGTGTGGTATGTGGAGTAACACTCTCGAGTTGTATCTCAAAAGATTTTAACGAAAAAGATTATTTTAAGGAGCAAAATTAATCTATTTAAAAATGCTAACCATAGTTTCGTTTTGCTGAAATTAAATATTTTTCTGATTATAAATCTCAATAAAACTAATCTTTCTAAATAAAGCAAATCGTTTATGTGTACGTTATAATGTGCAACTCTGTGTGGTATGTGGAGTAACACTCTCGAGTTGTATCTCAAAAAATTTTAACAAAATGATTATTTTAAGGAGCAAAAGTAATCTATTTAAAAACTCTAACTATAGTTTCGTTTTGTTGAAATTAAATAATTTTCTGACTATAAATCTCAATAAAATTAATCTTTCTAAATAAAGTGAATCGTTTATGTGTACGTTATAATATGCAATTCTGTGTGGTATGTGGAGTAACACTCTCGAGTTGTATCTCAACCAATTCGAAAACTCGAAATTCTTAACCAATCCGCACCAAATTTGGTGTATATTCGCTTAAAGACATGACGGACCTAACTCTCAACTTTAAGTCTCTCTCTGATCATCGATTCACGCCTTATTCCAAAGAAAGGATTTTTCATAGGATTTTAAAAATATTTTGTAATAAGAGTGATTTGTTAGCTTGCAGCTCGAATCAATCAAAAGTTAGTTTTATCACATGTTCTTTTGAATCGTGGTATCATCGAATCATGGTATTCATGGTATCATAGTATCATAGATTTTGTATGTTTGGTATCACTAGTAAAATCAATGTTATTAGTTATGCTTTATTTGATTGTTAGAAGTTGACTTCAAGCAACAGAATTATGACAAGTGATACTGATTATTATAAATCTTTATTTTGGGGTTAAGGTGAACTCTTAATAACAAGTTTTGCTTAATCTGATAACATTAAGATGCCAGAAAGACATATAATTCCAGTTTTCTCTGAGTTAAATAAAACTTAATTGTATTACTGAAGTTTTAGCAAAATTTTGAATAAGATTACAAATTGGGCTTCTATAATTAAGTATAATTTCTTTTGTATCTTACTTCAAACATAAAATTATCAAAGCATTATATATAAGTATCTAAATTCGATGAATATATTGAAATTCTAATATTATATGTATCTGAGACCACAGAGTTTGTTATTTTAATTGACTGTTCTAAATATAACTACAATTAAAATATGTTTTTCATGTACTAACTTTTGACTTTAAATCTATTTTAATAATCCAAACCTTGATAATAGTGAAATTATCTTAAAAATTAAAAAAATATATCAGTATATGTGATAAATACAAAAATAAAATATAACTACTTAAATTTTAAGATAATAAATTAAAATTAATTTAAATTATTAACAACTAATTTGTTATGTTTATCGAATTTTCGAAGTTAATCCCTATTATTTTTATAGCAAAATAAAAATGCAGATATAATAAATAAAATATAGCTATAAAAAGCACTTTTGGGGTGAA